GTTGAGCAGCGAGCTCATTGGCTACCGATACAGGAGAGAACCAATCAGCTGTGCCATGTGATAATGATGTCATTAGGTCAGATTGAGTTAGACCTATCAGACTGCGCCATCTAGAGTTTCATGCCAGAACTCTGTATTAAAAATAGAATAAGTAAATAGGAAATAACATTATACAAATTTTTATTTTTTTAAGTACACAATGTACAAAGTAGACAATAGATGGTATGTGTGTGTACAAGTGTGTTATTTACAAATGCAAGGAAATGTAAAAAGAGGGATGTGTGTTAAATAAATAAATAAATGTATACTGTAAATAGTGTTGTGTTTTACACATTTGTTGCCAAGTTAACTGTTCATGAGATGAATTTACAGTATATCACCATACTTACTTTATGACATTACATTTTGTATTACACGTTTTCTTGAATGGTACGTTTAAATATGCAAATGAGGCATTATCTCGTTTAAAAAATCACTAATTTGCATACATTCCCAGAACAGAAATCTGTTTTCTGTGAGGCGGAAAACACATTGACGTCTGTCTTGTACTGTTTGCATCTGAACATCGGATAAAGCCAGAATCAAAATTCTTGTTTTATTTTGTTAACATATTAAAGTTGAAGGTTTTTACAGAAGGGATTTTTGATATCTCTTTTTATCATTCCATAAATCAGAAAACTATCAACAGCCAGAAAAAAAAAAAACATTTTACCATGTCTATAGGAATAAAATGTTATGTAAATCAGTGTGAATGATATATGAACAAATCCCTCAGTAAAAATCTTCAGAATATAGATAGGAATAAAACTGTAAGCTTTGATGTATGTAAGTGCTGCTGAAGTGGAGAAAGAAACTCACAGCTTTAAAACATGCTTTTCCCTGTAGTGTCTTACCATGAGGATATTAGAAACCAGTGGCTTAGATTTATTTTAAGGCAGCGGCTATTTACACTAAGTGCAAATAGCAATAGATTCTATTTACACTATTTTAAAATAGTATTTTCTTTGCAATAATAGTAGTTACATGCTGCTTATACTACTTAGTGCAAATGGAGGTAGATCTGCACCTCAGTATTGTAGTAGGCTACATTATAAAACAGTATGGAATAATAATATATTGAGTGTAAATGATTTTTATTAAAATTATTTAATGGATGCTGTTTTAGTGAAGCCCTCCCGACACCTAACCCTAACCTTAACCGATAAACAACCGTGAGGCACGTTATTTTCCACTTTTCGATTATTTCCCTCATTTTTAATGAAAATAAATATCTTTCCGATGTGAGATGTGATGTGAAAAGAGAGAAGAACGAGTTCGGCAAAAGGCAGATTCGAACTCGGGTCAAGAACCAAAAAAAAAATTATTGCTACGTGCTTTATTACCTATGTCACTGAAGCTGGTGTTTAATGGGCGTCTTTTGCAGTGTTGACCGTACCACACGCGGGTGGCCGGAGTTTGTGTAAATAGCCTCTGCTAACAAGGCTGGCTATTTGCACTTAGTGTAAATAGACACTCCTTTATTTTGTTATAGTAAACAAAGTGTTTTAGTCCATATCTGTAGCTTTGAGGTCATCAGTATGCTCCTAAAGTTAACTTGTAGCACATATGCATTTAAATTTTACTCTCTTAACCTTCCAGAAAAATGGACTGCTATATTGATGACATCATCTAGAACTCACAAGTGTTTCGTCCAATCAAATGCTCTCTAAAAAGATAATTCTGTCTTAAATAGACATCTAAGTAGCAAAATCATCACTGTGATGTAGAAACTGATGTTGTTTCAACAGGAACACATTTAAGCATTGATTGTTTTATGAACTACTATATTAAGTTAAAAACTATATTAAACAGAGCAAATCCACTACCGTAAAAACATGTAGCTAGTCATTACAGCAGAAGTCTTAAAGGCACAGCAACAAAAACAAGAAGAGTAAAGGTCTTTGCAGACAGAATCTGAAATTCTTGCACGTTAAAAAATAAATACGACTGCACGTTGTGTCAATCACGTTTGCACACTGACTCCGAAACTCCGAAAAATTTGGATCGGGTTCGATTTTCTACGTTTATCGTATCCGTAGCAAGCATTTTGACAGTGGGCCAGGTGACAAATCCCTCAGTAAAAATCTTCAGAATATAGATAGGAATAAAACTGTAAGCTTTGATGTATGTAAGTGCTGCTGAAGTGGAGAAAGAAACTCACAGCTTTA